AACTCCACCAGAAGCTCAACCTGGACCTTCTGGTCAACAAGAAGCTCAACCTGGACCTTCTCCTCCCCCAATAACTTAACCAGAAGCTCACCCTGGACCTTGTCCTCAACCAGAAACCCAACCTGGACCTTCTCCTCAACCAGAAACCCAACCTGGACCTTCTCCTCAACCAGAAACCCAACCTGGACCTTCTCCTCAACCAGAAACCCAACCTGGACCTTCTCCTCAACCAGAAACTCAACCTGGACCTTCTCCTCAACCAGAAACCCAACCTGGACCTTCTGCTCAACCAGAAACTCAATCCAAACCTTCTGCTCAACCAGAAACCCAACCTGGACCTTCTGCTCAACCACAAACCCAACCTGGACCTTCTGCTCAACCAGAACCTGGTCCAGCTTCTCCCACCCCCCCCAGCTCCACCAGGAGCTCCAACCAGAAGTTCTGCTCAAGGTTAACCCAGATCTTCTCCTCGAGGAGGTCAAGCTGGACCTTCTGCTCAACCAGAAACTCAATCCAAACCTTCTGCTCAACCAGAAACCCAACCTGGACCTTCTGCTCAACCACAAAGCCAACCTGGACCTTCTGCTCAACCAGAAACCCAACCTGGACCTTCTGCTCAACCAGAAACCCAACCTGGACCTTCTGCTCAACCAGAAACCCAACCTGGACCTTCTGCTCAACCAGAAACCCAACCTGGACTTTCTGCTCAACCAGAAACCCAACCTGGACCTTCTGCTCAACCAGAAGCTCAACCTGGACCTTCTGCTCAACCAGAACCCCAACCTGGACCTTCTCCCACCTGCTTGGAGAGGCTGCTCTGGCACTGCTGGACGTCCCGGAGGAAGAGCTGGAAGACGTGGGACTGGACCAGGACCTCCCTCCTGCTCTCCCAGCTCTGCAGGAGGTTCCCCCACCCCGCGTCCAACTTCTGCAGCCACTGCTGGAGGGACAGGGAAGGGACCTCGGTCTCCTCCAGGGCCAGGAGGTCACTGGCCGCTTGGATCTTGGCGTAGTCCTCCTCGTAGCCATTGATCTCCTCTTTGAGAGCCACGTGGTGGTTCAACATCTTCTCGGCTTGGGCCAAACTCTCGGGGACCTCTTGAGAGGCCAAAGCCTCTTGGGTCTTCACCAACCAACTCAAGAAGTTGTCCAGGTCTTGGATGAACTGCTGCAAACGTCCGGCCACCGTCAGGGTGTCCTCACAACCTTGGAGGGCCCTTTTGAGGGCCTCCCACTCCTCGTTGATCTTCTCGAAGGGCAGGAGGATCTCCAGGGCCCTCCCAGGGTGAGAAGCAGCCAGAGCTTCACCCTCACGTTGAAGCTCCACCAGCCGAGGCTCCAGGACCACCAGAGCTGCCTCCATGGTGGACAAACGACGTTGCAAGGCCAAGACACCTCCAAGGTCCCCACCACCAGCTTGGGTGGCCTCGATGGCTCTTCTCTTCTCCCTCACCTGCTCCTTCATCTCCCCGCACTCCAGGAGGTAGTTTTGGATCTTCAGGACGGAGCTGAGTTGGTTCTTCTTCCGTTCCACCAGCTCCACCACCCGGTTCCACCTGGGGAAGGAGGGTGGGATGGAGACCTGAAGGCCTGATGTCCACCTGGGTGAGGTTCAGCTGGACCCTCCAGGAGGCTGAGCTGAGGAGCTGGACCCCACAGGGACGTCCCACCAAGGTGGGACCACCAGAGGGTTGGGGAGGTCTACATGGTTGGTTGCCCTCACCAAGGTGTCCCCGAGCAGGATGAGGTCCAGCTCGGTCGTGGGGGACCCTCCAAGGTGGGATTGTCCCCCCTCCCCCAGGGCCATACCTGCTGTTGAGGTGGTCCTGGCAGGAACGGACCTCCTCGGAGCTGGGGTGTCCCCCTTCCACCAACTGCTGCACCACCTGGTTGACGTCCAGGATCCGCCCCATCACGCTGTTCATCTCCTGGTCCAGGCTCTCGAACCTGAGGAGGAGCCACCAGGTCCTCAGCAGGAGGGACCCAGCTGCCCAACCCGCCCACCTCCCACCATCCAACC